AGGCTTTCCTTGTTCCAGTGTATGTTCTTTGCTCCTTTTTCGTAGGTTAATTGATCATATATATTTGGATTTATTTCTGTGCTTTCTGTTAAATTCCATTGATCTGTGTGTCAGGTTTTGTTTCAATACCATGCTGTTTTTATTATGATGGCTTTGTAGTATTGTTTGAAGTCTGGGCGTGTAATAGCTCCATTCTTCCCCCTTTTAGTCAGGAGAGCTTTTGCTATTTGGGGGTTTTAGATGAGCTGTGTTTTAACCACTAGTAGCAACAGCTATGGAAACTGGGCCATGGAAATTACCCCTATGTTCATTAAATCTCTGAAGGAGTAGGATCCACTCTGAAGGCCTAGATCAGTCTCCTGAAGTAGCAGGCCTCACCTCCCTCTTTGAGTGTTCAAACAGCTTGTATTTACTCCATGTGACATCATGTCCATCCCCTGAAAGGGTGTGACGTTCCCCTTGGAATGTGATGGCGGACTGAATAATGGTCTCCTGATATCCATGTGCTAATCCCTTTAGTATGTGAGCAGTACCATATATGGGCAAGGGCCTTTGTAGATATGACTGAGTCCGAATTTTGAGATGGGGAGATCATCCTGGATTATCCAGGTGGGCCTGATAGAATCAAGGTCCTTAGAAAAGGGAGAGTGGATGGTGGAGATGTGCCCGTGGAATCCAGAGGTTGCAGTGACATGAGGAAGGGTCATTAGCCAAGGAATGCAGGTGGCCTCTACAAGCTGCAAAAGGCAAGGAAACAGATTCTCCCCTCAGAGCATCCAGAAGGAGCCATCCCTGCTAACAACTTGACTTACCCAGTGACAACTAATTTTAGACTTCCTGACCTCCAGAACGATAATATAACAAGTTTGTCATGTTTTTATGCCACTAAGTTTGTGGCAATTTGTTACAGCAACAATGGAAATTAATGCTATTATCTTGGGACCCTTTCTGTCGATGCTAAGTGGTTCCCTTCCCCGTCTCCAGAAGCACCCCGATGGATGTAGGTTGATGAAGCCTGTGTTGACAAGGCTGACAGTGCTGTGAAGCCTTTCTGGTCTTGGGACCCTTTACAGAGGTGTCAACCTCAGCTTGCCTGTGCTGCCTCCCTGTGTGAGAAAGTCGCTTCCTTTCACTTCACAGCTGTGGGCAGGACAGCTAGGAGCCGGGCACTGCTGAGCAGTAACCTGGGGCACTCTCTCTCCAGGAGTCTGGGCTGTACTGTGGTGGAGATGCTGACGGAAAAACCACCTTGGGCAGAGTATGAAGCCATGGCGGCCATTTTCAAGATCGCAACCCAGCCCACCAACCCTCAGCTGCCCTCCCACATCTCTGAGCACGGCCGGGACTTCCTGAGGCGCATCTTTGTGGAGGCCCGCCAGAGACCTTCAGCCGAGGAGCTGCTCACACACCACTTTGCACAGCTCGTGTACTGAGCTCTCAAGGCCACTCTGCTGCCAGCTGCCTTGCCGTGTGGGCAAGGGGCTGCCATGAGGCCCAGCGAAGTTGCTGCTTCTCCCACGCAAGGCTGTGGACCACAGAGCTGCAGTCCAGCCGGCATTGGCCTGTGCCCTGTCCACCGCAGGGGCTCAGAGCCAGAGTGGGGGCTGTAGCCTCAAGGACTGGGAGCCCCCAGCCTGCCAGATGCGAGCCTCCAGTGTCCTAAGCTCAGCATGGAGGGAAAGGGGCTAGGAACAGTGTGTGAGGAGCCCTGGGTATCGACAGGACCACCAAGGGTCTGAATAGTGTTACTTTCATTCAGAGTGTTATTTTGATCTTCTTCCCATGTCTGGAGACCACCAGGGCATCTCTGAGCTGGATGAGCCCACCCAAGCCTGAGGTAAAACCCAGCATCTGCAACCAATGGATGGCAGAGGCCTGGGCTCTGCTCTTTCTGACGCCCCCAGGTCAGCTTTGCCGGTCCCTTGTCCTTTACCAAAGATGAATGAAGCAAATGTTATGCTGCCTTACTTAGGGATGGAGGAGCCTGTCCTGCCTGCCCTTGTGACCCTGCCTGCCAAGCAGGGCCTGAGATGTGGAACTGCCCCCACTAAGGGCAGAGACCAAGTTATGTCAATGCAATTGTCTCTGTTTTACAAGTTGGAGTCACTCTTATGCTGTGTCCAGTTTCTAAACTGGAGACTTGGGTGCCCTCTGGGTTCTGAGTACCCCTGCTGTCCGCTTGGGCCTTGGGCTGGACTGGAAAGAGCCGAAAGCAAGTGGCCTCTCTGCTTCTGGTCTGGCACCTGTCCTCCCACAGGAGCAGAAAGGAAGATGGACAGCGTGGTGAAGGAGCTGACCTAGCTGGCCACCCCGAGTGGGCTGTTCACGGGGAGCCGAGAGTGCTGTATCAGGCCTTCTGCGTCGTGACCCTGCTGGGCCAGAGCCCTCCCCACCTGGTGAAGGGAGGGCCCATAGGATGCCACCAGCTCTGTCCCAAACTGCCAGCTCCGTTCCTTCTTGGCCAGCCTCGCCCATTCCCGTGAGGTCGCAGCCTCTTTCCCTTCGTGCTCCTCCCCTGGGGGAGAGACAGCAGCGGGGGCAGGGGCCAGCATCTCCAAGCAGCTTAAGAGTTGGCCTTATTTACCTCAGCCTGGGCGCTGGTCCTTTCTTCCGGCCCCTCCCCTCCAAAATGTGCCTATTGCTAGAGCTCCTCCCTCTCAACACCCAGTTTCCTTGGGAGTTGTCATTAACGGGGGAAAAAAGAAAAAAAAGCCAGTGCCCAGGGATGGGCGTCTCCAGGGAGCTGGGGACTCGCCACCTCCCAGGGCCACCAGAACAAGCCAAAGCCTTCGGTGTATGTCGACGATGCACTTTTATGAATGTAGTTTCTATCGCTGTTTTTAGCCTTTTCACATCGTGTAATGTGAGGCCTTGTACTTGTTAATTTATATCTCAGATCATATTTGATGGTTTTTATATATATATCACTCTAGACTGTTACAGGTGATGGACGCCTCGAGAGAAGAGGAAATCAAAGCAGCTGGTTTTGTAGGAATGTGTGTTGCACGGTGCCGGTCGGGCTTGGACCCGTTTCCATCTCCCCCCAGGGGCCTCTGAGGACAGCGAGCCTGTGCTCCTGCCTCCGCCTTGGCCTTGCCCAGGGTGGGGACGGCCACTCATCTCAACCAAAGCCCAAGGGTGCCAGCGCCAGCCTCTCCACGCCCCCACCCTGGTGGCTGTAGCGCTCTCTGGGGCCCACGCCCATCTCCAGCCCCCGCGTGGTGCCAGGGCTGCCAAGACCAGACGACTCTGTGTCCCAGGTTCAGGCTCTCACAGAGCCCCACCCCCGGGGTCTTACCTCACAGGGAATGTTTTTACATGAATTTGCCAATTAAGCCAACAAACCCCTGCAAAAAAACCCCCGAAAGATCCTGATTTTTTTATTTTGTGCCAAAAACTGTGGACATGCTGGCTCAGCATCCTCAGGACCAAGCTGTTGCTTAATTTTAATTTATTGTTTTTTTTAATTAAATAATCCCGATGAAAAGGTGTGGGTCCAGGATGGCCACGAGCAGTCTCCTAGCAGCCCCGGGCTTGCTCTGGGAAGGGCCATGCCGCCATTTGCCCCTCCCGCCCCCCCCCCCCCCCCAGCTCTGTGTCTGTCTGAGTTGTGGATAGTGCAGAAGACCCTGCAGCCATAGTTATTTGACTATATCTTGACTGAGGGCTTGCAGTGCAAAGCCAGGCCAGTGTCGCGCATTACTTACAATAAAAGGGAACATTTATACCCCAGGAGTCCGGTGGCCTTGCTTTGGGGGGAGGGAGGGCTGGGGGTAGGTATGTGCCTGGGAGGGGCCGGGAATGGTGCCTGACAAGCTTGAGTCCCTTGGCAGACGACCTGGGACGGCTTGGCTGGTGCCGCGGCTCCCTCTAGGGCGGCCCCCTAACCCTTTTCTCCCTGCTCCCTGGGGCCCCACTGAGGATGGTTCCATCGGGGCTCACTTGTCGAGGTGGCACCGTGGGCCCCCTGGCTGAGCATCGCCCGTGACTGGGTTCCCAGGACCGTCACCAGTAGCGTCCCGGCCTAGGGCAGGATGCCCCTGTCCCGTCCTCGCCTTGGAGCCGCCTCTCTGGTGTCCCTCTGGTCCGTCTGCCACTGCTGCCCAGCGCCGGGCGTGTTAGTCTGGTACGGGAGTGGGTCTGCCCCGAGACGGAGGACCCGGCCCCAAGTGCCCTCCGCTTATTTAATGCTAGCTCTGCCACCCAGGCACCGTGGTCCATCTGGCGCCCGAGCCGTGATGTAGCTGCCCAGTTACAGGGGCGTGAGTGCACGCAGGAGCTAAGTTGTGCGGGACGATGCAGTCACTCCTCCGGGAGCCTGCAGAGTACCCCAACTGCTAACTCGGGCAGCTTTGAGAAACCAAGACAGTTGGGTCTGGGATGGGACAACCCAGACATCTGCCAGTAATCTGCTGTGGGGGGGGGGGGGCGGCTAGGTCTCCCAAGCCCGCCTGTCAGACGCGCCATGAACTGGCCCCCGGGTGCCAGGCCTGCAGGGCAGCAGTCGGCCTGTTGCTCCCCGGGGTGGGACGGTGCCCAGGGCCGCCCCGCTGCCTGGAGCTGGCGGAAGCAGGGGAATGACACGGGGAAAGGTAGGGGCGAGGAAACCTCCAACCGCTCTTGATGAATGTGCTGCTTCCCACCACCCTTGCTGAATTCCAGAACAAGGGGGCCGAGAGAAGGGTTCAGCAGAAGGGTCCTGCCATGTACCCCAATGCACTAAGGGCAGTGAGGCTGGGCACTGTCGCCCAATGACATCCTTACCCTCCTCCTCTCTCATGCTTCTTGTTCTTGCTCCCCTTGAGAAGGCGGGCGCACCACCCAAGGCTGCAGGCCAGGGTGGCATTTCAGTGGCAGCACTCTGGGCTGGACAGCGTGACACCTGGCTGCGAAGAGGACACGCCCTCCCTCTCAGGTTGGCACTTACTTCTCTGACGCCGATGCCAGCACCTGCTCCCGCCCCCCTTACCCTGTCCCTTCCACCCCACCTCCCTGAGTGGCAAATCTACATCCTTCCTGCCACAAAGCCCCCCATCAGGCCACACAATACAGAGTCAGGATCTGTTGAAACATTTAAAATAGGGTTGATCAGAACCAGCAGAAACAAGGGCGAAGAGGGGAACATGGCGGCTGCCAGCCCCCTACCAGTCTCTGTGGCGCTCAGCCTGGCGGTGCTTTAGCTTCTGCTTCTTGACTCCAGTGGCGTGAGATGGTCCCAAATCCCACTGGGGCAGTGGGGGGTGGGGTAGCAGGCGGGTGCTGCAAGGCTGTTCACTTCCTCCTTCCCTCCCCCATGGGCCCCTGGCAATGGTTGGGCCCAGCAGGTGGCACTCTGGCCCTCCCTCCTCCAGTCTCCATGGCTCAGGACCAGGCTAAGGGCAGAGGTAGATGGGGAGACGTAGGGGCCACATGAGGCCCTGGGTGGCAGTGAGGGAGCGTGGGACCCTGAGGGGGGCATGCTGACTCCTTGCTGGAGAAAAAGGCACCTAGATAGGGAAGCTGGGCTTGGGGGCCTCCCAGGGGACCATGGGCTGAGGTGGGGTAGGCGGAAAGAAGCAGGAAGGAGGGGGTGAGCACACCCACAATCCTGTTTCGCAAACCCCCACCCCCCTCGCGGGGAAGGGAGTCCTGGAGCAGAACCCTGCCCCATAACCCTTGGCCTGAGCAAGGCGGCCTCCCTGCCCGGCCTCCCTCCGGAGCCCAGGTCCAGTTTCTTTCCCACCCTTCCCCAGGCTGCAGGCCCTCCAGGGAGGGAGTTGGGCCCGGAGGGCCTCAGGCTGTCTTGGTGCCGGGGTCGACCTCCTTGTGGGCCCAGAGCTCCTTGTGCTGCTTCCTGCCGAAGCCCTCATCGTAGTTCCCTTTGCTCTTGAACAGCTGCTGGAAGTGGGGTTTGCAGTAAAACTCGCCGTGCAGAGCCGCGTAGCTGCCCAGGCTGCAGAAGCAGAGCAACTGCGGTCAGGTCAGGTCGGGGGCAGGGGTGGCGGGGCGGGCGGGGCGGGGCGGGCCGGGGCGCACCTCAGCTTGGTGTGACAGTGCTTGCAGCAGAAGCAAGAGCTGTGGAAAACGAACTTGTCAGCCACCAGCCGCTCCATGGGGTACACGGTCTTCTGGCAGGCGGCGCAGGTCTCCTTCACCTGGGCCCGGAGGCTGAAGGACTGCGGGAGACAGACTCAGCGGGGGCCCGCGCGGCGCCCCCGCCCGCCCGCCCCCCCTCGGGCCTACCTTGGAGCGCTGGACGGTGCCGCCGCCGCCGCCGCCCGGGGCCTCCTGGGGGAGAAGGGCCGTCAGCGCGGCCCCCGGGCCCTCTCGGCGGGCACCAGCCCGGAGCCGGGGCATTCGCGGGGGGCCCGGGGGCCGCCCGCGGCTGCTCCCCCCCCCGCGCGGCCCTCCCCCTCCCCCCGGGCGGTCACCTACGTGCGCGGGGGGGGCCTGCGCGGCGCCGGCGGCCTGGAACATGGTCCGGAGGGAGGCGGCCCGCGGGGTCCGCGAGGGGAAGTCGCCGGGAGGGGCGCGGGCTGCGGGGGGCGGGGGTGTTTACAGGCAGGGCCGAGGGGCTGCGGTTGGGACTTTCCCGAAGTCATTTCCTGTTGCTCTGGGTCTCGCCACTTCCGCCCTCGCCCCCCGCCCCCGCCGCCCCCCGGCAGGGGTCCCCGCGCGGAGCCGGGTGTCGCGGGAGGGGCCGGCGGCCGAGGCCGAGGGCTCCCCGCAGCCGCCCGCGCTCCCCGCGGACCCGGCCCCGCGCGGGGGGCGGCGGGGGCGCGGGGAGCGCGGGGGAGGCGGGGGGCGCGGCGCGCGGCGAGAACCGCTGCCCCCGTGACTCGGCGCCCCCAGCGCGGCCGGCCCAGCCCCTGGACAGCGCCCGCGGGCCCGGCCGCCAGCCCCGCCCGCCGCGCCGCCCGCGCCCCGCTCCTCGCCCCGCCCGCGAGGACGGGACCCCAGGCCCGGGAGCCCCGCGAGCCCCGCGAGCCCCGCCGGGGGGGCGCACGCCAGCCTGGGGGTCCCGGGGAAGAGTGACGGGCGCGGGCGCGCGGCTCCCGGACCCCGCGGGCGGCGAACCCCCAGCCCGAAGCCCCCCACTCGGCGCCAGAGGCGGCCCCCCCCGCCCGCCCGCGGGTCTCACCCGGCCCCGACCTGGGCGCGGAGCGGGTCGGCCTCGGGGGCGCCGCGGAGCGAGGAGGCGCGGGTGCGAGCGGCCGCCGCTGACAACAGTCCCCGAGCGGCCCCGCCGCCACCGCCTTATCGCGGCGCCGCCCCCGCCGGCCCCCGCCCCGCGCCCGCCCATTGGCTCCGCCGCGCCCGGAGCCGCCTCCGGGGCCCGGCGCCGCCGCCGACCCCCCTCCGCGCTTTGTCTTCCCTCGTCGCGTCCCCCGCCTTTGTCTGCCCCCCGCCCCGACCCCGCGCGCCGGGCCCGCCCCCCGGCCAGAGCCGGGCCCGCGCCGCGGACCTCGGGGTGGCCAAGTTCGGGCCCGGCGGCCGGGGTCGCGGGCAGATGGCGCCCCCGCGAGGCCCCGCGGCGGGAAGGGCGACGCGGGCGCGCCTGAGGCCCCGCGGCCCCCGCTCTCCCCGCTGGGCCCCGGCGGGCTCAGCCCACGGCTGCCGTCGGCGCCCGGCGCTCCGAGGGCCCCGCGGCCGGGCCGGGCCCCCCAGGGCCGCGGAGCTCGCCCGCTGCCGGGAGCCGCCAGGAGCCGCCCGCGCCCCTCACGCAGGCGGGAGCAGCCGCAGCGGCGCCCGGCACGCGGTCCCCGGCCGCGCGAAGCCGCGAGGCTCGGGCGCGGGCAGCAGGGCGGGCGCGGGGCCCCAGGGCTCGCCGGCGGGCGGCCACGCAGCGGGGTCTCCGGAAGCACCGCCCCCGGACGAAGGGCCCGGGAAGCTGCGCCCTCGGCTCTGCAGCTCCCGCCGTCCAGCCCTCCCTGAGCGCTGCGTGGTAGGATTTTGTGGGATTAGTCACTCCTCGGCCCTGGGGGCTCCGTGGCCTGCGAGAAGGCAGGGGAAGAGTCCCCCTTCTTCAAAGCAAACATCGGGGTGCCCAGGCCGTATCTAACTCCGGGGGGGGGGGCGGCTGGAGGCAGGGCGGGCCTGAGAAGCCAGGCCGCAGGCCCAGGCCCAAGGGTCTGCAGTGAGGCAGGAAGAGAACGTGGCTCCCGGCCCCTGTGGCCACGCCGCCTGCCAGAGGCCCCGCACACTGGCAGCAGGTCTGAGGGGGCCTGAGCAACACCAGGGCTGGCTTCCCAGACAGGCCTCTGCTGGGGGGCAGGGGGCCTCCTGGGGGGGCTGCTCGGTGCAGCCTGAATCAAGCTGGAAGCAGTTTCACGAGGCACAGCCCTAAACATAGCTTGTTCCCACACCGTGGCAGGAATAGAACGCACAGAGGGGCCCACACACTCGTCAGGAACAGGACAGCTCAGCCCCCGCGCCTGGCACCCCAGTGAGCCAGGCAGCAGGCTTCTCCAGCCCCCACACTGAGCTTCATTTTTCTCCTCAACCTTAATTCCTCTAGAGGGAGAACTTTGTTGGGGGGGTGTGTGAGAAACTTCCCAAGTGTTCATCGTGCATCTTTTCAGGCTGTTTCCACGCCTGTCGTGGATTCTCAAAGGGGGACGGGGATGCAGGAAACAGTCCTCCAGGGCCCTAGGAGCCCTGTGTGGGCAACTGGGCTCCTTGGGGACCTGAGGCCCCTGCCCTGCCCAGGAGGCCCCGGGGGCTGAGCTGCAGGTAGCTTCCACAGAGTCAGCAGTTTGGGCTGCTTGAAAGCCGAATCAGGCAGGCCGTTGGGCTGATACCATGTTAAGAAAAGGGAACTTGAGGCTTAAAGAAAAACATGAGCTGGGCAGGGGGAGGAGGGCTGGAAATAAACGTGACCCGGCCTGCTCACCCTACCTCAGGCCTCCCCCCTCCACCTCACGGTGGGTGTCATTCCCTTCCCGGTTGCCAAGGAAAGAGGTTCTTAAATGTTTTTTAAACTGTTACTACAAATTCTGAAGAAAGGCAACATGAGGGTATCTGATGGTTCAAAGCCGTTTCAGGGAAGTGGGAGGGGCACTTCCTCTCCAGTTGCAGTCCCTGAGCTGGGAGTTACTCTCAGCCCTGAGGGCCTGGTGTGGGGAAGGGACTGACTGGGCGCAAGCCCCAAGGAGGGCAGTGGGGTTAAGAATCACCCCTTTGCAGTGCCCACTGATCACCCGGCAGGACAACAGTTCTTAGGCTGCCTGCCCTTTGGGTAGTATTCCCAATGGTAAGGAGACGCTGCAAATCATGTCACGAAACCAAGTCCTCCACTCCTTTCCTGCCCGAGGTGAGCAGATGCCTGACTCCATCAAAGCAGTCTGATGGCCACTGACTAAAATTAATGCAAAAAGTAGGTAGATGAAAGACAAGTCTAATGTAGGTTTTAAGAGAAACTGAAGCGGTGAGGCCGCCCCCCAGAAGAGGACTCTGCTGCGCTTCCCCAGGCCTGGCGGGCCCACCCCGGACGGAACCCAGCAGGGGGACTCGTGCCTGAGCGTGGTTGGCCAGCACACGAAACAACGCCACCCTCCAATGCAGTCTCTGAAAATTTTAATTTGTTCTGGCTATGAAACTAACAGCGTAAGACAGAAGCCCTCAGGCAAGGCAAGACATTATGGCCAGTGGAGACAGCACCAAAGGAAGTGGCAGGAGACGGGCTCTCGGTGGGGAAGGAACGAGCTGCACAGAACTGTGGGGTGGTTTTGGGTGTCAGGGTCCTCGTGGTAAAAGGGATGAGGACAGCCTTAGCCTGGAGCTTAAACAGGGAAAATACCCTCCTCTTCAGTTCTTAGGGCGCAGCAGCGTGTGTGGGGGGATAGGTTGCTTATTGCTTGCCCCTCTTGGACCTACAGGATCTGAGAAGACATGAATGGCGTCAGGCCGGCAGGACAGCAGGAGTGGGGCGAGGAGGGCGCACAGTTCCCTGGGTTGATAAGCCAAACCCTGGGCTTGGACTCGGGCTGCCGGGGCCGGAACAGCGTCTCTTCCTCCGGAGGGCTGGGAAGGCGGCAGGCCAGCCTCTCCCGGCCCCTGGTGGCGGGATCCCCGCGTGTCTCAGAAGGCTGGGAGCAAGAAAGAAGAGTCTCTCTCCGGGAATTTCGTTCCCAGTCAGTAAGCAGCCGACTCTCCTGGCGGAAATGTCCTTCCTACCCGACCCGACCCGCGGGACCGTGGCCGGCCCCCAGGAGGGCCCTGGAGGCTCACACGCCCTGGGCTGACAGGGTCACGTTCTTCGAGGCTCAGAACTCCCAGTCGTCCACCTCCAGCTCCTCCAGGTTTGTCACCAGGCCGAAGAGTCCACTGTGGTCCTGAGTCTGGCTGCCCTCGAAATTGGTGATGGGGGTGACAGGACGAAGCAACTCGGGCAAAGCCTCTGAGGCACGTCGCTTGATCTGGGGAAGAGAGTGAGCTTGGGCTCTGCCTTGCTGGTCCCGGGCACTGCGGGCCAGGAGCCACGGCAGTGACAGACGGAATGCTGGGGCCGAGAGTCTCCACGAGAGACAGAAACGGCCTTTAAGGGCTTCAGAAACGAGGCCGTTCTCTAACTGAGAGGGAGGGCAGAGACCCCCGAAGCCCCGACACGACAGGGACGGAGGGTCGTCAGATCCAGACACAAAATCCCAGAACCCACCCAGGGAGCTGAAGGCAAGTGCGATTGTACCTGCTTGAAGAAAGAATGGTTCAGGAGGGTGCTGGCACTTGGTCTGTAGAGAAAGGGGGAGAGAGACCCCGTGACCCCTGTACCCCAGATTATAGTTTATCCTCAAGTGCCCCCTCTTCCTTCCTGAAAGAAGAGCGAGGGTCACCCAGGCTGGCTTCCTAACAAACCCTGGGCTGCGTCCTCTTGCCACAGGGAGTCCAGACTTCTCTGAGAACCCCACCTTTCCTGAGAGGCACCCTTTCAAACCCTGCCCTGAACTGAGCCCCCTCTTCTCTCCCAGGAGCGCCCTCCCAGCCCAGCGGAAATACCTTATGTCGGGGTTGCGCTGAAGGCACTGCTCCACAAAGTGGTGGAAGTGGGGGGAAAAGGTGCGGTGATAGGGGTGGGAAGGTGAGTCGCCATTGGAGGTCCTGGGGGTGCTGGTGGCCAGGCTCTCCCCGAGGCCAGAGTTGGCTGCTGAGCGCGACGTGCTCATGGTCAGCTCCTCGGCAGGGATGGTGCTGGTGTCCAGCAGGCAGGGCACCGTGCCGTTCAGTTTCTCTAGCAGCATCTGGCAGGACAGAGCCAGGACCTGGGCTGGGGCCCCTGGAAGCCTCCAGTTTCTTTACAAATCCCCTTTCCCCAACACACAGATGTGATTTGGGGGGAGTAGAGACCGACGTGGGTTAAGAGTAACTTTCCCAAAGGGACGCCGGCCGCTGGCTCAGCAGTCACACCCTCACCAGGCCGAGCACAGAGGCGGACTGACGAGGGACCCTTCTCTGTGGCTGCACGGAGGGGCTCCGCTCCCTGAACTGCGGAGCCTCACCCTAGGGCGAGGACAGCAGCTGGTCATTTTCCTCGCAGCCCAACCCCACTGCCACGCCCAGCCGGAACGGATGGGGTCCGTCGGGCCGCACCCTATCCTGGGTGCTGCAGCAGGCTGAAGGGAGCGGGGTCTCCTGGGGCAGGACAAGCTCAGCGGCTGTTCCTAAACCCTCAGACTCAGCACAGAGAGATCCAGCCTGCTCTGGAGATCGCTGTCCTCAAGAACGTCTTGAGCTGCCCACACCAGAACCCGAAAATCTTCCCAGAGCTGTGTAAAATGGAAACTGAGGGCCACATGCGGCTCGTTATGTTTAGACCAGTTTAGGTTGAAAATTCAGCCCTTCACTCTCACTGGCTGCATTTTAAGTGCTCAGTAGCCATAGCGGCTAGTGGCTACCATATTGGGTAGTTCAGAGACAGATTATTTCCATTATCTCAGAAAGTTCTAATGGACAGAGATGTTTCTAGACCAGAAATAGCCTTTGAACACCTTCCTATGCATCCTTCTATTACTGTTTCACTCAGGTTTTCTAGATTCTCGACCGAGATTTCCACATCCTCTTAACTGGCCTGCCAGACTTAATCCACCTGCTGGAGTAATCTTTCTAGAACACACACCTGAGGCTATTGCTCCTGTGCTTCCAAGTCTCCAGCATGCTCTGGGACGGGAACCAAAGGCCCCAACATGACACACAAAGCCTTCCTGACCTGCCTTTGCTTCCTTCTCCAGCCCCATCACCCAGCAGCCCCCCAAAAGTACCTATACTTTAGATACTTAAAATCACTTGCTGTTCCCAGATCCTGTCCTTTCTTGCTTTCTTTGCACATGTTGTTCCCTCTGCCTAAGAATCTCCTTCTAGTTTCTGTTTTTCACACAATTCCTATTTGCTTTCAAGACTCAACTATCACCTCTTCCCAGAAGGCTCCCTGGGCCACCTGCTTTACAGGGCTCCGTCTGGCCATTCTCTAGCTGCCCCCATGCCCACAGAGCAAACCGCCTGTGGGTTCAGCGAGAGACTCACTCAGAGCCTGCACCCCAGACTCCCCTTCCTCCTGGGTTCTACATTGTGGTAATCTTTGTACAAACAACCCAAGTCTACATCCTGGGCCTGAAGAGGGCTTCTCCCCTGCCGTGCACATCTAGGAGTGGCGAAGAGGCAGTCGTGCGCAGGGGGCGTGAATAATGGTTGAGCTTGCAGAACGGATGTTCCCAAGGCACTGGCCAAAAGTGGTAGCACAGAACCTGAGAACTCTCAGTTGGAACATGACCTTCCAGGTATACTACCAAGGTAGGAGAAAACATTTTAAAAATTTATACCAATTTGCTAGTGTGATTTAAACACTTTGAATGGAGACATGGTATATGGGCTTCCCTTGCACCCCGGCTCCAGGCCCTGCGTGTTGACAGTGGGCCTGCTCCTGAGCCACCGCAGCTGGGTTCTGCTGCCACAGCCCTTATCACAAAGAAGTAAAACGAGAGTTACACAATGACCCCTTCCCCCCCCTCCCCCCCACAGTGTCCTCCGCTGCCTGCTTCCCCAGTGTGGATGGAAGGCAGAAAGAGGACACCACAGGGCTGCAGCTCACCTGGGTGGCAGGCATATCCTTAAAGGGGACGTGTCCATTGGCCAGTTCACAGGCTGTGATTCCCACACTGTAGATGTCAGACTTGGCATCATAACCCTGAAGATTCTAAGCCAGGAGAAAAAAGCCACAGATCACTCCATTTGTTGCCCTGGTAGCTGTTCTTAGAAAAAGAAGGGTGGAGCAAAAACTGAGGCGAGGGAGCGAATGCCTGTCCCCAAATCAGGACCAGCTGCTGAAGACGCCCCCAGCCTGTCCTCCCGAAGTGCAGTGCGGCTCGAAAGAAACGGAGTTCGGCGCGCTGTGCAGCCGGCGGATCGCAAGCGCTCGCCCTCCCCAGAGGTGAAGCTCTCTGAAGGGAGCGAACTATGCCAGGTACAGCCTGGGGCCCCTCGGAGGGAAACGACATCACTGCAATGGCAGATAATGTCCACGCTGAGGAGCCTCCCAGGTCTGCTTGCCAGCAGGGAGCCCTCATCACAAACCAGCCCTGCCCTCAGAAGCAGAGGGCACCCCCCATCCCAGGAAATTCCTGAAGGCTTCCTTGGAAAACCCTAAGCCGGTGGCAGGTGGGGCTCCCAGGACCAGGGCACGGACCTGCTGGAGGACCTCCGGGCTGAGCCAAGGTAGAACCTTGATGCTGTACTTCGGGAAGTCGTGGACCACACGCTGGCGCTGCCCGTGGCTGATCATGCTGAGGTTGCTGCGCAGCCCGGACAAGTAGACCTTCCCGTCGGCGGAGATGAGAATGTGGGAGGCTTTGACGCTCCTGCGGGTGCGGGCAGGAGGAGAGCGTCAGGAGGCAGCAGGAGCCCCTCACACACGGGTCTTTGGTCTCCACGCACTAGATGCAGCCAGCTTCTCCCCGCGCTGTGGCAGACACTTAGGCAGACACACTTAGGAAAACTTTTAAACACGTTCAAAAACAGAGACAATAGCATGACCTCTTTTACAGATCACCCGATTTAAAAACACTCCTATTCTGTTACATTCTCTCACGCGCACAGATCCCTCCTTCTCCTACCACCTGCTGCTCTCCATGTGCTCATGGGTGCCTCACACTCACGCAGTGCACCTCTCTCGTCCATGCGCGTTTTCAGTTCGCCTAACAGTACTGTGTCGTGCGCCCCACTGTCCCCCTTCTACTCCGTGCCGTTCTCCAGGCCCAGCTGTGGGGCTCGCCGCATCTCTGCACTGGCTGCCGCCTGCTCTCGGGGGCAATCTAACACGTTCACTTCCGTGTTCTCCAGGAAGGGAGACTTCCTTTGCGACTGATTGCCATGAATGTGAACCAGGACAGCACCACCATGTCCCCTGATGGGTCCGTAAGGGTTTCTTTGGGGAGCACAGCTGGTCCTGGGTTGGGCCATCTCCCACTAAGCAGACAGGAAGCCTCACCTCCTCCCTGCCCTTGGCCTCATTCAACCTCTGAATCACTGACAGTCTCAGGTGTCTAAGGCGACATCCTGTTTTAATTTGCCTTTCTGATTGTTGGTCACTTTGACTGTTCGTATGTCTATGAGTCTTCGGGGTTTCCACCCTTATAAACTTTATATCCTTTGCTCTCTTTCTTTTTTTTTTATGATTTATTTCATTTATGCAGACAAGAGTCGGACTGCAGGCCAGAGGTATGTCTGTATGCAGGTGAGAGGATTCACCAGAGACAGAGTGGGGAGCAGAACAGGCAGAATGACTGAAATACACTGCTGAGAGGAGCAGCGGGCGAGACAGGAGAGGTCTGCTGCGCCATGTGGGTCAGCTCCCTGGCCGGGGATTGAACTTGTGCTACAGTGGCTGTCGATAGCTTCATAGTGCTGAGACTTAACCCCTTGCACCACCAGTGAGGTCCCTCCTTTGCTTATTTTCTATTGCTTTACTGTTCCTTTTCTTGTTGAGCCACAAGATTTCCTTGTTACTAATCTCCCATGTGTTTTAGACAAAGTTAATAACTTTTACATACTTGCCCATTACTTAACTCTGTTCATGCGGCCCTCTGCTGAAGAGAAATCTTTAATCTTGATATAATCAAATCCATCCACTTTTTTCTGCCTCATGTTTTGTACTTGTAAAGCACTTGGGAGTTCTCCTAGAGCTCAGGTCACAAAAGTATTTCCTTCTGCTTAAGTTTGTAGCTTTTACATGCTATTTAGCCTTCAATTCATCGGGAATGCTCCTGTGTGTGGTGTTAGAGAGGGTCCCCATCGTGAGTCACCTTTTCTGACACGTGAACTAAGCAACCCGTCTTCTCCTCTGCCTCTCGGCACAGGGCCAACTCTGGGGCACATTCACACCAGTCTGGGTGCCCCAAGGAAGTTGGGGCCGTGGGTAGAAAGGGCCCTGTCTGATGTTCCTCTCACACTATTCTCAGGACCAAGCTGCTGGGCAGAGAGACGCCACAGAGTCCGCACCAACGGGCTAACTGTTCAGTCCAACAAGTCCGGGGTAAGGGCAGGACCCGAGGCTAGATTTAAACTCTGGCTTCACAAACTTCAGTCCACCTTCCACTGAGGACGCACAGACACAGACACCTGCCCGAGAGAGGGGTGACCAGGGCGAGCACAGCACGCACCTGTGCACATAGCCCATGTGGTGGATGTAGTCGAGGGCTTTGAGCACCCCCTGCAGGATGTAAGCGATCGCCAGCTCACTCATGCCGTCCATGAAGTGGGTGCAGATGAGATCCTTTGCAGAACCTGAGGAAGGGAATTGTGGGGAGACAGGGAAGGATAACAGAGAAGGGAAACACCACGTAAGCAAGCTGACCAGAGTTCTCAGAACCCCTTTCTACCAGGACCCCTTTGCCACTCACCATATGCCACGAATGATGTGACAACCCACAGCTCATTGTCTGCAATAAAGGTGGCTCGATATGGCAGGATGTTGGGATGGCTGAAGAGTTTAGAGACATGAAGTTCCCCCTGAAAGCAAGTAGGCTGGTGTCAGATTCAAGGGGCACTGGAGAATAACACAAAGGTGGCGCAGGAGTATCTTCGGGGTGCTCTGCCAGAGTCCCCAGAGTCCTGGCAGCAACCCAAGCAGGCGCCCTCCGCTGTGAGAGAAGCCCTGGCTGCTGACGCTACAGGGAAGCCAACACTGCTTTGCCAGCTTCTGCCTAAGTGGCTCCAATCCTGAACCTCAAGTCACAATTCCCCGACAGCCAGGAGAACTGCCACCAACAAGCAGAGGGCCCCCGTTTTTCATGATGAAACATACTTGGCTGAACACGTACAAAGTTACTAGTTCAGCTCAACTTCAAGGGTCAATGCACAGAATTCCTCTTTTAAGATAAGCAAACAGAAAATGTTTTCCTGCGCCAGGGAGAGTGACAGTGACAACCGCTGAGCACGAGCCACTCCCTCTCCAGCAGCCTCAGACTAAGCCTGACCTCGACGGAGCCCACAGACCCATGGGATTTAAAAGTAAATTTGGGACCTCCCCGGTGGCGCAGCGGTTGAGCGCTGGGTTGCGAAGCTGCCCGCGGCCTCTGCAGCGCCGGTTCGATCCCTGGATGCTCCCCGGCCACCGGAGGAGGGTCCCACATGGCGCGCAGACCTCTCCTGCCGCCCGCTGCTCCCCTCAGCAGTGTACTTCGGTCCTTCTGCCTGCTCTGCTCCCCGCTCTGGCTCTGGTGAGTTCTCTCACCCTCCCGCGCTTCTGACTGTACCCAGTGCTTGTATAAATCAATCAATCAATCACCCAATCTTGTATAAATAAATAAATGAAGAAATAATCTTTAAAAAAATAAATAAATAAAAGTAAATTTGGGCAAAAGATGTGAAAAAATTGGACAACAGAATTACAGAAAGTCGAGGGCCCTCCGCAGAGGGGTTGAGTTGAGGCCGTCTCACCTCCATCTGACTACAGCTTCTTCCCAGAGAAGGAAGCTGGGGCTTTCTGTTCTACCCTCGGACACACAGAACTGCTCTGAACACATGACCTGGTATGCAGTGAGCCATCGAGGAGCTTGAATTCAGAAAAACATCGTAAATGAAGAAGGGGGGGCCTCTCCTCGTGGCGCAGCAGTTTAGCGCTGGGTTGGGAGGCTGCCCGCAGCCTCTGCAGCGCCAATTCGATTACCAGCCACCGGCGAGGGTCCCACAAAAAAAAAAAAAAAAAAAAAGAAGAGGGAGGGCCTGCAGAGAAATCTACGGAATGCACCCTTCCTGCCCCAGGCCTTAGATTCAAGGAGGTGTCAGGGCAAGTCCTCATCAGCACAGGAGAATCAATTTCCAGTCGATGACCAGACCTGCGGCCTCGCTCAGTTTAACAAGAGGGAAGCTACTCACTTCTTCAACAGAAAGGGACCTCAGGCAAATAGGATGCCAACAGCCAGGAGATGGCTTCCCAGTGGCCTGTGGCAGGGCAAGCTGCCTGCATCTGGAATGCTGGTTTTGAATCTTGCCTATAACCATGGGCAAATTATTCAGTCTCTCTAAGTAATAAACAAGTGAATAAATGAGCCATAGAGAACTCTCTGGAGAAGAAAGGGGGGAATAAGCTTTGGTCTGAGCAGCTTTACAGAGGCCTTAGTGCCAAATGCCCAAGATATGCCCTGAAAGTTTCCGTAACTTCTTGGTTTGTCTACTTTCATTTCCTGCCAGCTACTTTCAGAAGACAGAAGTAAGCAGTGCCCTGTAAATCCTACTGGAGCTGCGAGCCACCTCCTGAGTGTCCCATTCCCGTCATTACCTGCAGGAATGTCACCATCTCATTGGAACAAGCTTCCAGGTTAATCCTTCGTACTGTCACATACTCTCCCGTTGGTTTGTACCTCGCTAGATTCACTGTCATTAGATCCTCAAATCCTTTTCCTAAAAGAAAAGAGGAATGCCATTAAAGAAGACAACAGTGACAAAAGTTTTCATCTTCTTAAAGGGATTTGATTTAAAAAGAAAATTCAAGTAGAAACTTTCACTATCATTACTTTCATGGCTGATACTTCTTGATTTTTCTCCCATCAGTTCTTTCTCAGCCAAGCATCCTGACCATGGCCGGGGGCACCGGAAGTAAACAGTCAAAAAGAAAAACTTGCAGGAGAGCATCCCTCTTGGGGATTGGGTCTCTTTTCCCATACTTGGCAGAAGGAAACCCAAGGAGACCCACAGGAGCCCACGTGTCCCCCTGCACCATGCGCTCGCTGACAGCCTCTGGCGCACATCCACCCAGGGCTGCTGAAGAGGCTGCAGCCGTCCCCTGGAGTGTGACGGCACGACAGTCTCTGCACATTACCTATAATGGTGAGTAGCTCATAACACCCTCCCTCTGGCAGAAAGCTACTCATGATCTCCTGTTTAGAGAAGGATGCGATCGACTCTGAGCTTGCCTCATTGGTCTAAAGAAAAATAAAAAAAGGTTAGTAAGAGAAAAGTGGGGGTAGAATAGGAGTGGGGGTGGTAATTCAGACCCACAGGAGATGGGCATGTGGGCAAACCATGTTCTGACTCTGGGGCAAGGAGTCGTGCCAGAGTATTCAATGTGAAATGTAAAGGAAAAATTAGACGTAGTGATCGGGGCTAATCAGCATTAATATCAGAGCAAGTAAGTGCTACAGCTACCTACACAAGGGGGTGGCAACAAGGGCTAGTTCCAGTCAACTGTCGATTTGCTTGTCCTTCCCAACAACTGGCTCCTTTGCTAAAAACGATGCTGTTCTTAGGGAAAGGATGTCTGAGAAAGGTACATTTAGGAAAGGGAAGTGGAGAGGAGCGGGTTCTCTTGAATTTCTGTTGCGTTAGGGTCTTATCTTTAAGGTCCTGACTACAAGATCCCAAAGGTCAAATGCTGACTCCTGCCATAGGGAAAATGTGGCCCTAAGAAATCCCTCTATAGTAATTCATGAGTCAAGACCAGTGTTTCCCTAGTATTTCCAATGAATCAAGAAAACAATCAATACACTCGGCTGCCAGAGCTCAGCGCTCCCCAAGGCAGCAGGAGCCACCTGCTCTTTCGTTCCTCCCTACTCAAGCTGCAAGTGAGGCTGGATCCCAGGCATCTGGGGTACCAGTGCGACACCTGTGGCTTTTGAGGTCCTGAAGGAAAGTGCCTAGGAAACTTTCAGACCAATCACAGCAGACCAACAATTCTTCCTTCTACTTGCTAGGCTGTTTTCTTCTTCCAGACCTAAATTTATGTGTAGGATTTAGGGACTGAGTATTTTTCTTTCCTTTGGATCCTCTCCAGATGTGTGTCTAACTGAAATGGAGAAACCTAAGGAGAGCTCATAGTTTACACGCTGTCTTCATAAATCTGCCCTCTAGTCAGGAAAAGGTCTTCATGAACTCACGCAAAGCTCTTGGCTCAGCACTAGCCAGAAGTGTGTGAACTGAGAAAGTTCTAATAAGTGTTATCACCTTGTTGGGAGTTTGACATTTCCAAGTGCATCTGGTTTCAAGAGTTGATAATGGGGAAAGGGACCAAGTGGGGTTCTGCCTCACTCACCACTTATGCTGACAATAAGAACTGAATCAAGCAAAACAGCCCTGTCAGCAATCAAAACCCATGATAACTTAATTTTTTTTTTCATTTTCTTCTTTTTTTTTTAAAATACAAACCCTTGTGTCGAGGGCTGACTTTCAATAGATCGCAGCGAGGGAGCTGCTCTGCTACGTACGAAACCCCCACCCAGAAGCAGGTCGTCTACGAATGGTTTAGCGCCAGACGCCCCACGAACATGTAACTTAATCAATTTTTTATATGGCCGGATTCAGCCATATTGTATTTAGCTATAGTTCACCATGTTGTAGAAGATTCATCTTGTCATTATAACTCAACTTATCCATTCCAACGCTGATGGGCGTTGGGTTGTTTCCAGCTACTATGAACTCTGCAACTGGAAGCTCATCTGAATGTCTCTTGATATATATATGTAAGAGTTACTCTAAAGCTCATACTTAGGAGTGGACTTGCTAGGTCAGAAGGTATATGAAAAATTAACTTTATGAGATAATGCCAGATTATTTTCCAAAACGGTTATACCAACTTGCACTCCTGCCAACAATATGTTTTCATTAATCCATTTTTTTCCCCAATTCTTGGTATATTCAGACTTAATTTTTGCCAGTCTCATCATGGGCATGATTTACATTTCTCTGATAACTAATAAGTTGAGCATCTTTTCATGTATTTACTGGCCATGTTGGTTTTCTTCAAGGTGAACATGCCTTTTTTCTGTCTCTTGTCCATTTTTCTACTCAGGATTTCCCCAAAGTAAGCGCCACGGAACATTGATCTTGGCAGCTGATATGTGAAAAACATTTACATGTCCAATTAATTAGCTAGAAAATACAGCTTACGCTCTCATGGAGAACCACAAGGCATACTTGTACATTAAGGCTTTGAGAAATTCATAGTAAGGAAACTTGTCTAACCTAGCACTTCCCAAAGTTACTTGTTCAGGAAAACTTTTTGTGTCCAACATCTATTAAATGTTGGAAAGATAATTTGGGACAGCTATTTCATTTTATTTTATTTTATTTTAATTTTCTAGAGGCATGTCTTATTTATTTATTTATTATTTGTTTGTTTGGTTTATACATGCACTGGGTACAGTCAGAAGCGCAGGAGGGTGAGAGAATTCACCAGAGCCAGAGGGGAGAGCAGAGCAACGAAGTACACTGCTAAGGGGAGCAGCGGGCGGCAGGAGAGGTCTGCGTGCCATGTGGGACCCTCCTCTGGTGGCCGGGGAGTAGCCGGGGATCGAACCGGCGCCACAGAGGCTGCGGGCAGCTTCGCAACCCAGCGCTCAACCGCTGCGCCACCGGGGAGGCCCGGGACAGCTATTTTAATCAAAACATATGGTATAACACAGACCATAGGCTCAGGGGCCAGACAGAGGCAGAACTTGAACTCAGATCTATCACTTACTCTGTGACCCAGAGGAAGTCACTCTAACCTCCAAAGAGGGGAATAATTCCCACTCCATAGGATCACTGTGACTATTAAGTGACATAAAATATGCAAAGAACTTAGTGCTGCCTAGTGTATAGCACTTTTTCAGCAAATGTTAATGCTATTCTTTTCCTCCCTTTTTGCCACCTACTAGGTGGTTGCTCTCCTGTTCAACAAATGGAAAAGAGAAAATGGAAGAAACAGAATCCCAAGGAAAGCTTGATCAAAAGTTAAAGTTAGATTAATTTTGGTTTTTAGCCTTATTGGTGTTTTCAAAGGCTCTGAAAACATATTCCAGGATCATTTAATGGCCATGAGATACATAATCAAGCATTCTGGAACAGCGACTCCTCATTTAGAATTTATAAGCTACAAACTAAGTTTGCTTTGAGGAGTCCCATTTCTTAGCCCTATTATCTCAAAGCCCATACATATATTCTTGTTCTGCAAATCCTGTTTTCTCAAATATTAATCTACTCTTCAATAAAATCAATGTCACTAGTTAAATCAAATCCCAGGTGACTGTTTTCAGACCCAAACTCCCTAATCTGGCTTATGACTCAGCTCCTGCTAATTCTGATTCCGTCCTATACCACACTCCCCTTGACCCACACAAGCAAGCACTTTGCAGTCTTAGGAAATCTGCACTAGGACTAGAAATCATTACTTAAATAGTGATTAAGTAAAGGAATCAGGAAATTCCTCTGAAACATTCCTGCCCTATTCCTTCCCCTGCCACCCTACCCCCCATTTTCTCATTGCTGCCCCTTTATTGAAATCCCAACTTAAATGTCATCTTTGGACTCTGTCCAGAAAGTAAAGTAGGCCCCTCATCACTATTAGACCACCTTGCTTCACTTTCTTGACAGCAGCTATTTATCTCTTGCCTGTCTCCTCCATTAGAATGCAAGCTCCAGGAGGGCAGGGACCTTGTCTGTCTTGTTCACTGGCGTGTATGCCGACACCTACAGCTATGCAGACAATATACTCAAAAAAAAAATCATTTAAGTAAATTTTGAACTGAGGTTTTTTGCCCAGGATCTTGTCATTTCCGAGAGGTAAAGATGAGAGTAACCTTAACCCATTAGTTCCCCTGGAGACAGGCGCAACATGATGACGTTTACCGAAAACACAGGTCTAGATCCCACCACCAGGCACTTTTCAGACCAGAACTTGATACTGCATATAAGAAAGCGCTGCATTATCTAGCAGGTAACAGTGTGACCCCAATGAGAAGCAAATGGAGAACTCTTTCATTTTTGAAGGGCTTCTCTCCTCTGATCTCTAAGAAAACTACCATTTCTCATTTTTGAAAAGGCAACTATGATGGTCAACTGCATTTTAAGATGCAGTTATTAGTGAACTTTAAATACTACAGATAAATACTTTCTGAAATTACCCCTCTTCCTTGCCCGGAGTACACAGAAGCACAATGTCTACCAGGCTGCATACGATAGATACATTCTTGTTGAGCCCAGGCAGGGAATAATTCATTAATTACTGATAGTAACTTGACAAGTGTTTCCACTCTCTCTCTTGACTACAGAAAACCATTCACAGGAGCTAGTACTAGAAAATTAAATTCTTTAAGTGACTGGGAATTCGAGATCATGGGCAACCTGGAACTGCACACTGCAAGCTGAAGTAGTTCATGGTTGCTGTCCCCACCCCCAACCAGAAACAATCCTAAAGTAGAAGTTTCTGCTTGTGGATGTTTTCTAGGTCTGAACGCGAAGAGAAACCAAGCTTATTTGGGAAAACCAACCAACCAACCAACCAACAAACCAGGAAACAAAGGCAATATTTTAAAAAGAAAATGTCTGATCTGATATTGCCACAAGAAAAGCAGGTTAGCTTATACTGCTTTTGGGCTAGAAAGGTCAAAATCAGATAAAAAAAGATAAAACAGCCCATTCTCTTTAAACACAGCATGGCATGGTTTTATTGGCATAATATATAATCTCAAATAACCTAAAGAAATTAATTCCATTGAAAGCTTTTCTTAGTTTTCCCCACTATAAAAAGCATTTTATTCATTTTGAAGCATTTGAAAAATATATAAGGTACTATTATCCAGAAATGACCATCAAATGATAACTTTGTTTAAAGAGTTTAAAAGAAAATATAAAAGCATATGAAGACAATAGCTATGAAATGCTAACAGATAAACACATTCAACTTTCCACAGGTTTCACACAGGATAACTTTTACTTAATAAGATCAACAGCTGAGAAAACACAAAAATTATATATAATTTGCATTGTATTCTGGAATATATCTAACTGATCCTACATGGAATGTTTTGGTCTCCGGATTGGAAAATATTTGTATCTGACAGAGAGGTGCTCCTGACAAGCAGTATATAAGTAAAGCCAAAGTGTTACTCAAAGAGAAATCCCACTAAACATCATCATCCTTCAATCAATCTTGGGGTTGCCTGCAAAAGCTGCAAATATTTGTCAAATGAAAAGAGTAAGAAGTCTGCTCAGAAAGGGTTCTCATTCTTGTTATAAAATGCTGATTTACATCAAAAATAGCTTGGCTCACTGTATACCTCTGGCGTGTACTTAAGTAAAATGAACTAGCAGAATAGGAAGCAGGGCAAGAATATTGCAACTTTTGCCAATAAAAAATGTATTTTCTATTTTGTACCTTTAAATTTTGGATTTGATTTTTAAATAGGAGGTCGGAAGTCCTACTTTATACTCTAGATAGAAATCTATATTATCTCTGTGAACTGAAATCTATTATTAATAGACTAAGGATTGAAAATTTAGTTCTACTAATTACTAACTATTTTAGACTATCAAAACTTTTCTTTCTTTTTTTTTGGAGAGGGTGGGGGTAACTGAAGGACTAGGAAGAGAAGGAGACCTTCATCCTCAAGAGAAAAACGAAAAGTGCCTGACACTTTTCAAATGGCACATCAGAATCTTTCCAGGGTGAAACCTGAATCTCCACAAGTAAAAAAATTATACTACAGATAAAGCTCAATGACGATAAGCAGAAACAAAATGATAAGCCAACAAAACACACAAACTTCCACGAGAAGTCACCTCCATGCAACAGTCATAGTGCTGAGAGCCTAAAAGGTCACTTACTTTTCTCCGAGTGTCACCCGGAGGCTGCTCTGGAGTAAAGAAATTGATTGTTGGCTTTTGGTTTTTGAACAGAAGACACACCCACATTCAGAACAGCAATTACTGCACTTAGGACTACATATATCACTTAAGAGTCATTACAGTAAAAAGTGGTTGCAGTGCTACATATAAACACACACAGAGACAGATCACAGTAAGAAATGCTGCCAATAAATGGGGTTTTAAACATGAATCTACAGCTTTGCAAGGATACTAATCTATGGGTATTCTTTACTGAATATAACTCAACTATTATAATTCCGCTTACACATTTACTTTTCAGGTGTACGCAATGTTCCTTTTAATAGGTTGGTCTCAGAATCTTACACTGTGCATAAAAATTTCATTACAAAGTTATAGAGATGGTTGGCTATTCCTTAGAGAGTGGAGGGATTAGAAAGCAGGGTCTTTTTTTTAAAGGCAAAAAACATTTGATACAGCAACATGTATATGTGGGACCACTACCAGTTTCCCAGTCAGAATCATTCTACTCTGACAGCCAATAAGGCAAAGATTTTCTGGCCCTCTACTGCTCTTGGTGACAATAAATAAAAGGAAAGGACAACTGAAATAACCTTTTGTTCTTAAACTAGACAAATCCTGTATCTGTGCTTTTGATTTCCTCCATTCTGTAAAGGTAATAAAAGTCATCAATGTAAAACTGTAAAAATGTATGTAAAGTACTGGAATCATTACACAGCTCCCAATGTCTTAATAATACACTTCATTACGCTACAAACAATAAACAAAACAACCTCTTCACCCTCCTCAGATCGGTGACTAAGGAACTGTCACACGACAGTCAGAAAGCCTACACTCAACACTAAATCCAAAATCGCTCATTCATGTATTCTAGAATATTTGTAACTAATTAATTGTAAACTAAACTCCCAACTGAACTTCCATTAATGCCAGTACTTATTTTTAAACCAATGTCCATTGTATTCCCATCAGTGATGGGAAGAAAATGAAACGAGGACCAGTATTTTTGTTCCACTAACCTTTCCTTAGTGTGTAACTAATTTTTCTTTCTAACTAAAACAAAAACAACTCATTTCTCTCAACTCTCATTTGTCTAAAACACAGCAAATGAGAAGCATGAAGGAAAATAAATAGGTACCATCTAAGGAACTAACAAATTTGAGTTTTCAATTACGGAAGCTTATCTGGGGATATTCTGTCAAGCAGCACGCTCACCTGACAATCTGTTTCTTCAACTACTGGACCTGAAGAGAGCATCTTGGAGTTCAGTCACAAAGAAGGGGCTTCCACTCCTACTGCTGTTTCCTACTACTATTATTTTTACAGAAGGGAATTTTCTTTGGCTAAAGTAAGATCACAAAAATAACCAAAGGGGAATGACTGGGCCTGTGAAATCTTGAAGTTGCAAACCTACTTTAATTCTGAAATCAACATCTAGATTTCTAATCATCATCATCATCATCATCATCATCTAATACTTTGTCCCGGCAGACTTTTTCCTTAGTTCTTGTAAATCACTTCATTGCTACCATGAAAAGATGAGTCAACTATTTTCATCAGAAAACCGGACTTTTATATTATTGATACTTTTGTCCTGACTATAATTTTATTTTAAAAATCTTCAAGACTAGAGCCGTCTAAAGTTTTGTTTTTTTTCCCCTTTAAGAACATGCATTTCAACTAGACAACTATTTAGAAGAAACACATGTACCTTTAAGTAAATACTGGTTTTCTGTCCAGTGAACCTGGCAACTGCCAGATACTCCTCAAATCTTGGGGAAACCATGATTTGGGGGATATCAAAAAGAAGCCAAATAAAGTTTACACTAAAAAAGCCAAATAAAGTTTACACTTGCCCTCAGAATCACTAATTTCTATAAACTGATTTTGTCAACAAAACAGTAACAATATTTACCCTGAAGTGATGGCTAAATGCCGCACTATACTTACCTCCGAATAGTTCCAAATCTCTTAAGCCCTCAACAATGAACTTTTCCGAGACCCACCGCTAAAGAAGAAAAGCCCAGAGAGAATTAGTATTTTTTCGAAGACACAACAAATTAGCTATTAGCCACTAGAGAGACAGAGAAAAACATAAAACCACAGAAACAGAATCATGCAGTACAATTAAGATGCATTTCTACAGAAAAGTTTTGAAAAGAATCTTGGGTTTAAATCAACTATTCCTCATTGCCTAATTTGATGAGTAATTCTTAATCTGGACAAGATGAAAAATACACAGTACTGGTCCTAAAAATGGAGAAAACCCCATGTCTTTCTTTTTACATAACCTTTACAACCTTCAGGTTCCATCTTATCATTCAATGGTTGTCAATTACAGATGCTTTGGATCACTCATGCCAATTTGGAATTCGCAACAGAAAATAGAAGAAACTAGTTTTGCACAAATCTCTATCAGTTTGTAGAAGGAAGAAGCAAACCGCAGTCTTCCATCCACTAGGGCTTCTAGTCATCACCACTTACATTTTCTACCAGGTGTACAGCGACCAAACTAGCATGACCAATCTACAGTTCACTTTACTGGCCTATTTCAAATGACTATTGGATTTTTCCATCATACTGATCATTGATCTGGTTTCACCTGAATCAGGCTAGGTTGAAGTAGAAAAGCAGCTCATATTAAAAAGCAACGGAATCAAGATTGATTGTATTTCACTTAAGGGCTGGTGTTAAAGACTGGCTTAGGGACATTCTTTCCACTGAAAAAATAAAGTTCAAGCTAAGGAGAGATTCCATTTTTTAACTCTTATTTAACAGTAAAGCTTACTCTTGCCAATAGAAATTGCTCTTATATACATAAACATACAAAAAAATTAAGTAATATTCAGAAATAAATTGCTTATTGTAAGGTAATATCTAAATTAAGAATAAAGCACTTACATTTAAAAAAGAAACTGCACTATGGATTATGGATTGGAACTAAAATAACATTCTTTACCTTCTATATCAACCTTTTTTCCAAGTTAAAAAAAATGGCATCTAAATAAAAAATTTGAAATAAAAAAATCCTACGCGTTGTGCCACAAAATGTAATTTATAATTAGAAAGTGGTATATTTATAATGTCTCATAGTACTTACATATTGTTAATAATTACTACTGCATTTAGAAATTAAGTAAATAAGTAATAAAATAAATTAAATAGTAAATAATAAATTAAAATAAGATACTCTTACGAAATCATAAAGACTAAAGAAGCTAAATCCATTAATGTTCCTGAGATCATATTAGCAGGTGACATTTTCAGGTGTAATAAAATTTTTCATGTTCAAAAAGTCTTTAATTAAAAACCTGACTATTCACATGAAATAACTGAACACTTGAGTATTTTCTGTATTATCAAATTAATAACAAAAAGGAAGAAATTGCTCACAGATTGTTTCTAGTCAATAAATGACAACAATAAATGGCATTTTTGTATAATTGGCTAAACATTAAAAAAAAAAACAAAAAACCCTGACTATTCTCGGAAAAAGAGAGTTCCAAATATTCTCATTTGACACTAGCTTTTAAAACACAAACTGGGGGCCTCCCCGGTGGCGCAGCGGTTGAGCGCTGGATTGCGAAGCTGCCCACAGCCTCTGCAGCGCCGGTTCGATCCCCGGCTGCTCCCCGGCCACTGGAGGAGCGTCCCACATGGCGAGCAGACCTCTCCTGCCGCCCGCTGCTCCCCTCTGCAGTGTACCTCGATCCTTCTGCCTGCTCTGCTCCCCGCTCTGGCTCTGGTGAATTCTCTCACCCTCCCGCGCTTCTGCCTGTACCCAGTGCTTGTATAAATAAATAAATAAATCTTTAAAAAAAAAAAAAAAAAAAAAAAAAAAACACAAACTGACTGAAAACAAACAGGAAGGGGACAGATCATTAATGGCTACATCTCTAAGTGAGCCATCAACTCATTTGATGTTGTATGACTGGCACACAGAAACAAGTCACCTAGTTCCTTCTCCAATAGATGAACGGGAGGGAGCGCAGCCTGTGTCCCTAGTCACCGCCTCTGCCTGCAAGCTCTTTTCTCAGGAGTGGAGGCTACAACCCCTTCTTTGCTTTTTACATTCCTTGCTTCTTTATGATTCTGAGCATCACATAAAAAACCACCTACAATATCTGCCCAAACATATTGCTTTTCAGAAAATAAAAATAGTAAAGCCAGAAGAATAGAAACACTCACCCTAATTCGCTCTGGTTTACTTACAAGAAAAGACATGAGTTCCTAATGTGTTGACCTACTTCAATCTCAAAAATTTAAACCTAAAAGAAAAATAGAAACAGGTTGAGTTAGTCAAATCTCCTTTTATAGAAATACTTTTTGAGTAACAAAAATTTATTATGAGTCTACCATTCAAAGTACTAGACCTATAAATTGCTAGATTCTAAAGATTTGTTTAGAGAAACTTTTGGTGACAATAAACTTGGATATACTTTGACCAAGTACAATATGAAATATTTCTATCTCTATAGGAAAAAAAGTGTTATATGGTTTTCTTTTTTAACTGACCTCTACCCAAAGCAATTACCTTCAATTCTTTTGACTGTTCTTAAATCCTTTTCATCATTCTTAAATAATGTTTATATAGCTCTGACATCAATTTTAGTCATCTACCTATTAACTTCCGATCACGGCTCTCTACATCCCTTTCCTGCACCTTATTTTCCTACCTTCATTCTCCAACACAGGTCTGGCATAATTTTTGGCTAAATCAATGGTGTACGTTTATATTACTATGACTATGCAAACATGATTCACAGTTGAGGCGAACAGGGACGACTGTATCTCCCTCCCTGTGTGTCATCCTCCCCCTCGCCCATAGCTGTAATTGCCTCATCTTTTCACTTGGTTTACCACACAGCTATTATTAACATTTTAAAAATATTTCAACATCTCTGCTACTTAATATATTTTTCCATACATTCAAACTCATCCATTCCAATTCTCCCCTCAAGACTGCCTTCCCAAGGCCCTCCATCCTCTTGCTGCCATCAAGACTAGCTGCTTTCTAGGCCAAGTGCATATAGTCAGCCTTTTTAGCATGGAGATTTGGATCTTCCAATTCTGGGAAATAGTCTTGTTATTATTTGACATTTCTGTCTCCTCTGTTTTCTGTTCTCATGTTACAGAATTCCTAATGGTTAAAGGTATACTTGTAAATTTACCCCTTAGGGCCTCCCTGGTGGTGCAAGGGTAAGATGCAGCACTGTGAAGCTATCTGCAGCCACTGCAGCACAAGTTCGATCCCTGGCCAGGGAGGTGACCCACATGGCGCAGCAAAATCCTAGAAGACTTTTTAAGGTTATCTTGTCTCTACTTGAAAACTCCATGCCAGGGACTCGCTACCTCATCCAGGGGCTATTTCAACCTGTGGACAACTCTGATGGATCTGATCTTTTGTGCCTGAGTAACTTGGAAGAGCAGTGTATCTGGGATAGAAATGAGCAAGCTCAGAGGTGGAAGTGGCTTTAGTGGAAAGACGAGTTCAAGTTTTTAAATTACAGTGAGCTTGAGAAAACAGCTCTAGGGCCTCCCCTGGTGGCGCAGTGGTTGAGCGCTGGGCTGCGAAGCTGCCCACAGCCTCTGCGGCGCTGGCGCTGGTTCAACTCCCGGCTGCCAGTGAGGGTCCCACATGGTGCGCAGACCTCTCCTGCCGTGCCCACTGCTCCCCCTCAGCAGTGTATTTTGTCAGTCTGCCTGTTCTGTTTCCTGCTTTGGCTCTGGTGAATTCTCTCACACTCCCGCGCTTCCTACTGTACCCAGTGCTTGTATAAATAAATAAATAAAAAAAAAAAAAAAAAAAAACAGCTCTATATCCAAGTGGAAACATACAGCATTCAGTCAGAAAAGTAAAACTGATGCTAAAGAATGAGGTTAGAAACGGCTATGAGGGCTTGGGAATTAGCAGCTAAAGAAAGCTATTGAGTGACTGAAACTCACTAAAGGAGAAAGTGGTGAGAGAAAAACAGAAGGCTGGGAAGCAAGACTTGGGATAGGTCCTTATTTAGGCTTGGTACTTGACAGGCACATAGGAAGTGGAGCCCAAAGGGATGGGAGGAAGATCCTATTTCCCCTGCTGGCTTTCCTTCTCTTCCCCAACCTGGTTGAATCAGACCTGTCACTCACTATTCATCTCAGGTGCTACAGGAAGCCCCATCTGACCCTCACCTCCCCCAACCTACGTTGCCCATTAGGCTTTAGTATTCAACTCTAACACCTACCACATTCTTATGTGCATATTTATCAGTCTCCTCCACTAGAATAAGAGATTCCAGGAGAGCAGGAAATGCAAGTTGTTTACTGTTGCATTCCCAGGGGCTACTTCCAAGACTAAAAGGTGGTGCAGTACCTGTTAAGTAATAAAAGCACTGAGTATTTATGGTGAACTTACTATATGCCAGGATCTGTGCTAAATGCTTCAGAGATTGTCACCATATGGCAGTCTCCCTTATCCGAGGGGGATCGGATCGTTCCAAGACCCCTGGTGGATGCCTGAAAAGGAGGATAGTACATATACATATATATGTGTATGTATACACACACACACTCACACACACACACACAGTGTTTTTTCCTATACATACATTCCTATGATAAAGTTTAATTTATAAATTAGGCACAGCAAGAGATTGTAACAATAAAACAGAACAATTTAAATATGCTGTAATAAAAGTTATGAGAATGTGGTCTCTCAAAATATCTTATTGTAGGTACTATTTCTGGACAGAAGTTGACCACAGGTAACTGAAACTACTGAATCAAAACTGAGGATGAGGGGTAAGTATTATCAACCCCATTTTACAAGGAAATTAAGGCTCAGGGAGGGTAAAAGCACAGTTACTCTGGTGAGTGGTAGAGGACAGTAGATTTGCCTCATTGCCTGTGTTCTAGAAACCACAGTGGTAACAGAGAAACCTAGAGAGACACTGCAAGACTGTGTGCCACTGTTATAGAGCAGCCCCCATACAAAACGGGGTGCCTGACTGTGGGTCCTCACCCGCGCGCCTAAAAAGACTTATCAATGCTCTACTGCAGGCACAAGCGAAGGTTAATAAAAGGTTTATTTACAAGGGAAGGGCAAATGAGGAAATGTACAGCTCAGGGAGAAAAGGGGGAGACAAAGTTTTAAATGAGTCCTACCCAATCCGCCGATCTGGAACCCCAAATGGCGCTCTGAGAGCTGGCCGCCAGCCAGGAGCCGTGAAGCCAGGAGGCGAGCGATAGCGAGCCACCCCAAGGCCCACGTGTTTGGTTTTTATACACAACCTGGCTGCTTAACTCCACCCTCAGGTCCCAGCCACCCTCCCTTTGGTGGTGTTGGGATTTGTGTTTCCCAATGTCCTGATGGCTTTAGTCTGGAGTGGGGGTGGCGTCCACAAAGCTTGTATGGGATTAGCTCAGGACATCATTTCCCCCTAACACCAAGATAGAACAACGTGAGAGAGGGCCTTGATTTGACAATGCTGTGGTCAGTGCCAAATGCTACAGACAGGAGAAATCATCCACCTTCATTCATTTTTCCTTTTCTGCTATTTTTTTTTTTCTTTTGTGGCTGGTGTTCTAAACTTCCTCCATGTCTAGGATAACAACTATAGAGACTGCATTTAAGCCACATTACCTATAAGAATCTTGGTTAAAAGGGAATAGATTCATCAGTTCAGTTTAACCAGCTCCTGGACTGAGGTAGGTAACCAGACGAGTTTTCCTCAGCTCTCAGAGGCAAGAAACAATTTGGGGTGCCTCCAGAAAGCATGTGTGAGTCAACGAAGATTTGTGTTAACGCCACAGGTGCAAAACGCAGTATGATTCTACTTCAATAGATATTAAATTCGAATGGCTCTTCCTCTTGAGGGAGGTCGAGTTAGAATGTCAGGAGAGTCTAGTAAAAGGCTGGGCAGAGAAGTTAGTTCCCCTTTTCCTGAAAACTTGAACAATTTTATTTAACCACCCCTCTTCCTTCGCGCTCCCTTCCTTACCCCCAGCGCCCTTCTCTGACCCAAATCTACAGCAGACACTTCAGCATTCTTGGAAACCCATGAGACAATGAGAAGCGTTTGTTCTTTGTCCTTCTGGGGACGAGACCTGCAACCCGTCCGGCGGGATGAAAGGAGGGGGGCGGGGGGGGGTCAGCACTGGGTCCTGCCACCTCTTCGCTTGACCCCAACGACGAGACACCTGGGCCCCAGGGTCCCCGCCGCGGGGGGGGGAGGCGGGGCGGGAGGGCCGGCGCTCGCCTCTCCCGGGCCCGCGCCCCTCCGCCCGGGCTGCGGCCCCTCACGCGGGCTCCAGAGCCGCAGTGAACGCGGCCTGGGAGGGCAGGTGGGCCCGGGACGGCCGATCGAGCGAAGCCCCGCCCCTGGGGAGAGGGAAGCGTCGTCAGGGCGAAGAGGGATGATGCCTGCAGCGCGCCAGGCGCCCCGCCAGCCGGTACCTGATCCGGAGTGAGAGAGCAGCACCGACCGGCTCAGCTCCGCCTCCTCAGTTTACGGCCGCGCCGCCGCCTGCCCGGTTGCTGGGGGGAAGCACGCAACGTGCCATGCGCAGTAGAGGGGCGGCGGCGGGCGGCTGGGAGAGCCCCGCCCCGCCGCCCCGCCCCGCCCACCCCGCCTCGCGCCGGGGAAGCTCCGCCCCTGTGCCCCGCCTACCCCGCCTCGCGCCGAGGGGAAGCCCCGCCTCATCGCCCCGCCCACCCTGCCTCCCGCCGAGGGGAAGCTCCGCCCAATCGCCCCGCCCACCCACATCCCGCCGATGGGGAAGCTCCGCCCATCTCCCCGCCCACCCTACCTCCCGCCTCGGGGAAGCTCCGCCCAATCGCCCCGCCCACCCCGCCTCGCGCCTCGGGGAGCTCCGCCCTCATCCCTGTTCAGCCCCCAGCGAGCGGGGAAGCCCTGCGGCCCCTGCGTCTTCGCCCGGCCTGCGGCCCCGGCAGCGGTGGCGCGGAGGGTCTCGGGCGCCGAGCTATTTCATTCCACGCAGCGCCTGCCTGGGCGCTTCCAGTCGCTTCCCCGAGTGTGGAAGCCGCAGACCTGGCTTGTCTTTGGCGCGACCTGCGGGGTCCGAAAAGGGCTCCCCAGAGCCCACGCCCTGCAACCCGAAGGAAGGAGGATTTCGGTGATAGAGGGAATCAGGGGAGCTGGGAAAAGGCGAACCAATCCACGCTACTGACTGGGCCCCTTTTGAGGGCTTTTTGTTTTTCCATTTCGCATGGTAGGACTTAAATGGAAAAATCCGTTTCGCTCGTGTCTTTGAAGGCATCCCACTTTGGACTCCGGGCGCCAGGCTGATGAAACTGCAAAAGGAAATCCACCTTTTGTGAGCCCAACGTCCTTATCTGTAAAAGAGGGAAGTAGCTTAACTAATGGGAACTATCGTTCTTTCCTTTTTTTTAGATTTTTTTTTGTCCCTATATCCACAACCGTGGAAGACATGCTGTTTACAAAAACCTGCAAGGTTTGCCTCGAGGAGGAAGCAGCAGGGCCTGGGAAATAACGGAGCCTTAGAGGGAGACTGCGCTTGCACTTACTCTGCCCACGGGGCTGTCCAAAATTGAGTATCAATCAAGTAGTGAACCCTTGCTCGTCCCAAGTCTGATACTTGACACAAATTATACTGGCCTAATATTCAAAATGGAGGAGTTCAGCAACACCCGGAGGACGGATGGAAACGCTGAATGTGATCTTGGCCAGTGCGCTGATATGTACCTCGGGGTCTTACTTTGACATCTTTTTTTTTTTTTTAATTTATCTTTATCTTGACATACTCACTTTGATATTATCTGGTCCTTTAAATATTCCAAAGCACTAACTCAAAATCAGATGCCTCTCTTAGCAGTTAACAGGGTAAATTCACAAAGCAAGGTGGCAGTAGAAGTAAACTTGGCTGTGTTCTTTTGAGAGCACAGTATGGTGTTTGACCATCAGTATGGTGTTTGGAATTGAGAGTACTAGAGAAGAGTGTCTAAAAGGTTGAAGAACTTCAGGCAACGATTACAAATTCATCACAGTGGGGGTGTGTGTGTGTGTGTGTACAAGAACTGGGGTGCATGCCAGAGGCACAGGGCACGAGAGGACTCACACTTGAAAGTGGGGAGCAAAACAGGCGGCTTTACTGAAGTATACTGCTAAGGGGAGCAGGAGGCAAGACAGGAGAGGTCTGCTGCGCCATTGTGGGTCAGCTTCCAGGCAGAGAATTGAACCCAAACTAGTGTTTTTTTTTTTTTAAGGTTTATTACAGGCAGAAGTGTGTGTGGACGGGGGGTGGTGGTGACAGGATTCACCAAAGACAGAGTGGGGAGCAGAACAGGTGGATCGACTGAAATACACTACTGACGGAGCAGCAGGAGACAGGAAAGGTCTCCTGAGCCATGTAGGTAGCTCCCTGGCTGGGTATCTAATTTGTGCTGCAGAGGCTGCAGATGGCTTCACAGTCCTGTACTTAACCCCTTGCGCCACTAGGGACGCCCCAGACTACAGTGTTGATAGCACAAAGACTTAACCCCTAGGCCACCAGGGAGGCCCTTCCCATCTGTTTTGTTTTTTTTTAAAGATTTATTTATTTATTTATACAAGCACTGGGTACAGTCAGAAGCACGGGAGGGTGAGAGAATTCACCAGAGCCAGAGCAGGGAGCAGAGCAGGCAGAAGGACCGAAGTACACTGCTGAGGGGAGCAGCGGGCGGCAGGAGAGGTCTGCGCGCCATGCGGGACCCTCCTCTGGTGGCCGGGGAGCAGCCGGGGATCGAACCGGTGCTACAGAGGCCGCGGGCAGCTTCGCAACCCAGCGCTCAACCGCTGCGCCACGGGGGAGGCCCTTCCCGTCTGTTTTAATACCTAGTCCAGTTGCTGTTACTTTCTGGGTGTCACTGGGCCACGAGGACTATACCTTCTCTTTATGACCACCCACGAAAGTAAGAAAAACTTTGACTCAAACTTTATTCTGTTTCAAGGAGCAAAATTTCATTTACTAGTTTTCCTTGATAGGGCCTCCTAAATTCAGATAACTTAGAGAACTGTTGTAATGAAAGATCAACTTTCAGAGTTTACTGTCTCTTTTCGCCTTATGAACCCTGGGATACACAATTTCCCTAGGCTTTTCATTTACTTATAATAAGGGCAGAACTTGCTGAGATTTCTAGAGCTTTTTGAAACTGGCTTGAAGCATAGAGGGATGGAAACAGACTAAGGATTTTGCTTGTTTTGTTTAGACTCTCAGTATGCAGTTTAAACTAAGCACCCTGCTCTCTTCAATATACCACATAAATTGACTGTGAGAAAGGTAAAACTAGTTGCCTTTAAGAATACTCAAGTGAGATACAGAGAAATGCTTATGTGAAATTTAATAATCTGAGTATTATTTAACTTCTGTAGCACTTGATTTAACTTTTCATGTTACTTAATGTGACCCTCTGAACAACCATTTTAGGAAGGGGAGAGAAGGTACTGCCCACTTACAGATGAGGAAACATACTTGTTAAGGCACTAGGAGAGTACCTGGGTCCTGCCCTCAAAATGGAGGTTTCTTTCCTGAAGCAGAAAACTGGCTTAAATTCCAGCTTTGCCCCAACTTTGCCAAGTGATAGCTACATGCAAAAAAAATATGCAAGAGGCTATTTAAGCATTTAAGTATAAAGTATAATAGAAAAGCAGTTAAGAGTTCATACAATAAATAACCTAGGCAGACGTAATATCTGAGTTCCAAGTATCTTCCATGGAACTAAATACTTAAAAAGGGTTAGGTGTCTTTTAAATAAAAATTATACTATTTGAATACAGCCAAATAGTATAAAAGCAAAATAGAAGCTAATTTTAAAAGATGAAAATAAAAACTAGTACTCCATTAAAAGTACTGTTACAGTTGACATTTCCTTTCAGAAAAAAAATTAGTTTTTTTTTCTGAAATTGGTATTAATTTTCAGTTTGTAGAATTGAGATGGCATTTAACTTGTGCAAGGACTAAAACACCCCTTTCTTCCATATGCAAATAAGTCTTTTGTGGATTACCAAATTCCAGAAACAAAATATTTTTTTGCATAGTTTTAGCAGTCTGTAATATATGTTATTCTTATGGAAATAACTACATCCTCCCTCTTACCTCCTTTCAAATCATCAAAATGAGTGGAGGCAGGAACATTAAGGAAAGAGAATCTGGAGTGATAAAAATACAGCATTTCACCAAAACCAGTAGATCTTTGTACAACACTGCCCTAAATAATTCTCACATTTCCAATTTCTACTGGATGGGTTCAATGAGAATATCAATTATTTTCTTTAATATAACTTCCATCTAAAGAAGAGTTTTAGATCTGGCACTTGACAGGGAAAGATTTTAGTTACTAAGGAAACAGAACCTGAAATTATCTACTCCCCCAGCCTCCCCCCTCAAATATTCTGTCAGTTTTTGCAGATAGTTAAGAGAGCTCTGAAAGGATCTGTTTGGTTCCCAATGGGAAAAAAGGAAGAGTAAAAAGAGGGCCCGACAGACTCTGCTGATACCACCCTGACTCTGCCTGACCTTGCAAGCTAAGCTGGCTTGAGCCTGGTTAATACTTGGATGGGATTTCACCTGGGAATACTGGGTGCTGTAGGATTCAAAAAATAAAATAAAAGCCAGAGTAAAGCAAAATGAACTTGAACAGTGCAAGGTGACAGTTTAAACTTTTAAAGTGCTATAGTTCACAACTTTACATATATTATCTGTTAATGTTCACCTATTTGTGACACATGTAGGGAAATTAATTAGGATCCTCACTTTTTACAAAGAACAGAGACACAATGGCTTGCCCAAAATCAAAGGACACTAAAAGTCAGGTCTTTATCTTCTACTCCAGTGATAGGCTGAGGGGAGCAATGGACGAGATAGCTTCACAGTGCACCCCTTGTGCCACCAGGGAAGCCTGATAGTTTTGGCATTGGTAGTTACTCATGCAATGGAGACAAAATTGGAGGGCTTTGTGCTTTTCCATTACGTGACAATAACATTTTTTGTCTTCTCATTCATTGGAGTGATAATTATGTCTCAACTCAAAAGAGGGACTTTGGGAGAAACTCACAAATAACATATGGGGTTCTAAAAATAGAAAACATTCTAAAAATGGTCATAGGTAACAATTAAGGACATACATTCAAGGCCAACTCTTTGGAAAGAAAAGCATTTCAGTGCTCACTTGTATTGAACAGATAGAATATTTCTTTGGGCTTATACCCTAATAGGACAACCCCAGAAAAGTAAAGGCGGCACTCTGAGATTTTTGTCAATTAGTTTAATATAGATATCCATAGGTAGTTCATATGAATGCTTAAATTACAAAATTAGCTGCCATGGTCCAAATGTGTGGGACTTTAAGAAAGCGTTCAATAATCAAAAGGTAACTAAGCATATCAACTTTGATTTCTAAAATGTATTTTAAAGATTTGTAAAACAAGGCTATTTCTAGAATTATATAGCATTAAAGTAATTAAATTTGTTATTTTTGTTATTTTAATAACTTAATTTCATGAACTGTTAAAAAAAATATTATATCTGCATCTCTCAGTTTACACATTTCTGCATC